CAATGAAAGACGACTTGAGCATTAATTTGGAGGTTCGTGGCAAGAGACCTATGCAAGGACGAATTCAAACAATCGAAAAAGCAGCCAACAGACTCCATGCATGCCTGAAAGCAGTAGAAGATATGCATTAGAGTGGTGCTTCAAATGAAAGATACATTGAGTATTAAAATTATAATACATTTTACTTATTAAATTTGTTATTTATATTAGCTATGGTTAATTGTTTATAAAAAAATTATAGATGCTCTGAACAAAATTGTTGTTCAAAGAAGATTCAAAATTTAAATTTGGATGAAAATACGACCACGTTTGGTATTATTAAAAACTTTGAAAAATTTAAAGATGGAGCTACGAGGAGCAAGAAAAAAATATATGGTCGTTATCCATATTCGAAGTAAGAAAATCTCTGCCCGACAAGAATCCCTAGGTATTTCTTCATTTTCTCTAAATTTAAGCGACTCAAATCAATTTGCTAGTGGTTCTCCATCTGAAAGACCTATCGGGCTGAAGAAAGCCAAACTAAAAAGAAAGGTAAACGAAGATTTATCATCGCTCATCAATGTTATAAAGAAAGAAAACAAGAGACTTGTTGAAGAGATGAAAAATATAAACTACCAAATAAAAGACCAATTGGAAATGAGCAACAGATCCAACGCTTTAAAACGAATGAGGGAAGTAAATAAAATTATGTTTCAAGATGTCAGTTCCATTGAAGATCCTAGGATTTGAGCATACATTGAAACTGAAAAAACACGAATCTTGGAGAAAAGAGCTCAACAAGCCCAATCGAATCCATTTTCGACCAATACATTTGGCCAATTTATCACGTGTCCGAGCTATACTACATGGGGTCGATTACTTCGCGTGATTGGGATAGGATATGGGAAATAGTCCCGCGAATCTTACGTTTACTTTGCACGTTTGGGATGGGATTGGGCTGACATGGCGCGGATGTGGCACGCTCTCATCCGCCATTATCGGACAAAAAAATCCCACAGACTAAATAATCCGCCCAACACAAATACCATTCCTACCCTTACTGTTCACTGTGAAAAGACCATTATACCTTTTATTTTTCACGAATTTACAGCTTTCTTCCAATATAAGGAAAAATCGGACATTGAAGCCCTAGCTGCAGAGAACGTCGCCATTGTTCGACTGGGTGGTGAAGAAGCTCGGATTTTCCAAGGTGCCTACAGGTGAGCTCCACAATCTTCACTTTCTACCTTCGATTTATTTTCATTTCTCGCAAGATTTGTGGAACGAATGTTGAAATCGTTAATTTTTTGCCCTAGTTCCTGTAGACGCCATTGTTCTTGTAGAAATGGTGGAACAAATGTTTTTTTGGTTTTCTTCTCTTGGTTCTGTTCTGATTGACTGGACATTTTTCGAGTAAATTGTTGTTTCGATTCTGCTCTTGTTTCGTGTCTCTCTTGATTCTATGTGGATTTGTTTGTACGATATTTTGTTTTGGGTTCATTCTTGTGTTCTGTTATTTACTTATATTTGGTCTAGTTATCTTCTTGATGTTGATATTTGGTTGAGTTCTTGTTTAACATAGTCTTGACTAAAAAATCTTGATAAAATTCATAAATCTCTCTTTAATTTGCAGACCCTATGAAGATCTTTATCTAAATTGTATGGCCACTCGGCCTTTGCTGATCATAATGATTTTCATTTTATTTTCAATGCAATTTTTTTGGGTGGTGTATGAGAATTATGTGAATGTTCTTTCATTGCGTCGTTTGATAGAATATTGCTTTCTCTAGGTTAGTAATAAAGCATATGTACATTGAATAAAGGCTGAAAATTAAATACAACATGGACATTATCTTAAGTTTGGTATGAATTTTTTTTAGATAAATGCAGAATCTTTAAATAAGCTTGAGTATATTCACTGCAAACATGAAGCTCGGAAAAATGAAAGCAAAAAACAAAAAACTAGGATTTTCAATTACAGACACACAAATGAAGGCATCACGACACCATCTGGATAAAAAAACCTCCAATTAACAAATATAAATCAAGCAAAAGATTTAAATTTTAGAATTACCTTTGCATAGAGTTTCTTCACTTCTGAATTGTTGAAGTTTTTGTGTGAAAGATGTAGCATAGAGGGTAGTCTGATTTGCTGTATCCAGGCACAAATTTTCTGCTTAAAATGGTTCAGTCTTTTGTGGATATTATTTCCCATTGTCTTTAATGCTTGAACCATGTTTATTGAACAATTTCTGCAACCTACTTCTTTTGTGGATTATGATTCCGAAGTGATGTTCCTGTGAAGTGCTTTTGATATCTACAGTGTGAATGTGATTTTCATTCCGAAATCTGAATGTGTCATATTGCTCTAACCTGCGATTGTTTTGTTGCTCGAACAACTTTCTGAAATGTAAATATGATTATTCAATGGATAATGTGGAACTTCAATATCCGGATTTTAGTACCATTATATAGAGCTTGTAAATTACCAGATAACTTAGATATGGATAATGCTGCTTGTTATATCTCTATAGTTTTGTTTGCCCTTGGACATTCTGAAGTTGTTTGTGGTAATTATATCACTTGTGTATCTCATTCTTCATGTCTTACCAACTGAATTATATATAAGAAGATAGTTATGGTGTCTACATTATTGTCATAAAACAAAACATTCTCTTCCAACTTTTAAAAAAAAAATAGTTTTTTTTTTCTTTGTTTTATTGGCTTACTACTGTTGGTGGTGAAATCTTTTAATCCTGTACCAGAACCCTACAGAAAAATATTAAATATATTGAGATTATTGGCATTTCCTATAATAACTCTTTATTGCAATTATTTCTGGTTGAGTTCATTGGGCGAGCAGCAAAATGATTTGGTAACAAGTGACCTAATAGTGATATATTTCCTTGTATTCAACTATTTTACAAAATAATAATTAGATCTGGTTTCTACTGTTTGTAGTTTGCATTGCTAGAAATTCTTCAGTTGATGTTACTTTTTAAGTTCTCCTATTTGCTATTTAATCTTATGTGCATAAGGAGATACCTTTGTAATGTTCTTTCACTCAACCTAAGCATTCTCGACAAAATGACTTATTATACATACCTTTGTTTAGTTCTACTCAAGAATGGTCAATATCTTTATTTCCGGTTTAGTAGCACGATGCGATTCTGAAATTCATTCTAAAGTGGCTAATTTCATATTCAAATATTTTGTAGTGGTTAACAGATAGGCATAAGAAAGCGCTTTACAAGGCATTGGAGAAGGTCAAAGCCGGTAATCAAATGATTGCTTACTAAAACAAGGGTCTTATCTCAATAATTCCTTCATCTACTATACCAATATATTTTATACATGTTTTGGCCTAGATTAACATTATTGTTGTTATGAATATGAGGCATTTGCCCTCATTCAAGCAGGTTGAGACTAGCACTATCAGTGGAGGAAGCTATACTACTTCGCGAATTTCCGCGACGCCGCAAGGTAATGTGTTTTTAATATGTGTTTTTGCAATATGCTCATTTTTTGAATATGCACTAGTTCAGCCTCATGCCTTATCATGTGTTATTAATATGATATTGATGGTTATAAATAGTGACAAATAGAATCGTAAGCTTAAAAAAATGAATAGGTGAATATGATAACTTTGGTATATGCAAAGGTTATAAACGAATTTGTATTAATAAGGGGTTAATTAGCATGGTATTGAATTTCATGTTCATAGTGGCGGTTGTGTTGTATGTGCTTTTTTTTTTGTTTATGAAATTAGAGTCGTAGTAAGTTAGCCCTTTTGAAGTTTATTTGAGCTTGAAAGAACCTTGTGTTGTTGTAGTTGGGCCTTAATTTGTTGATTTCATGAAATTGTTTGGGGTGCTCTTTTTTATGTGTTCAATTGTGCTCACTTGAAGTTATGAGTCAAGAAATATGCCTTAGAGGTTGGTTATTTTTCATGCCTTCATGGTTTTATTGCATGCTACAGCTCATGAGTGTTCAAGATATAAAAGAGCATGTTTAATGTTGTTTTGGCCTTCATTGATTTCTTTGTTGAACCACGGTTATGTCACATATTCAAATTGGAAATGGTGTGATATTTCACTGTATTTTCAGCCTTTGTTTCATTTATATATAGATGTTTTATGCATGCTTATAGGTATTTTCAGCCTTGGTTTCAGTTACATATACATATATGTCTTGTGCAATGTGCCTTAAAATTGAAATGGTTGTACAGGTTCACTTTTGCACACTGTATACTATCTTGGGGAAGGACCAGGTATAATGTTCTTGTTGGTGTTATATACTTAAGCTTTGCTTTAGTG